CTCCACTAATTCGGTATACGTAAGGTTTAAAATTAATTTTTAAAAGTGAAAAGGCTTTCTTCAAGCTTTAACTGAAAGCCGAAAGATTTAAAATTTATTATTTCCAATAAGTAAAAAATACTTTATGGTATATTTGAAAATAAAATTATATTGATTGGGGAAAAAAAAAGTGATTACTGGAGGGTTCGTCTATGAAACTCTAAAGTCAGGATGCTGAAGGTAGCACCAATCAGCAATGTGACAAACTTTATATTTGTATCAATTTGTGTGTGTGTGTGTGTGTATATATATATATATATATATATATATATATATATATATATATTTATGAATAAAAATGACAATAGGAAAACTGGTAATTGCTGACGCGTTTCGTCCAATGTGGACTTTATCAAAGCAAAATACGAAATGAAAATTAAATGAACAAAGTAACTAATAAAACAAAAACAGAATGTACCTAGCAACTGGAATGTAGAGAAACGCTATTTTCATATTTTTTAACTGAAAAATAACGTCAGAGATTGTCACGTGTGGAGAATATTGTCATTATATCTGTGTTGATGTATTCAGCCATTTTCTTTCGATTTTATGAATCTGTTGTGCATATTTGTTTGTAAGAGCATTAATTTTGTTAAGAAAGGTGAAATAGGGAAAAAGCCTGGGCGTAAATTAATATTTGGATAATTTTCTATGGCGGCACTCTCCAGAATTTTCCTTCTGAGTGAGTTATTTTCTTTTTTTATGAGTGTAGCATTTTTAAAATCAAAATTATGGTTGTATTTATTTCTATGTATGACTATTGCATTAGAAATAAATAAAACAGGCTTCATGTTAAACAATAAAAGATTTATTTATCAAAATTCAGACAAGATATTCAAAGGGATTTACATTTTCTAACCGATATCACAAAGCTTCAAAAATGTTTAATATGCACACCACATGTGACACAAAACATGTCAAGTCAGTAGTTCAGCTCCTGCCAAACACGTTGTAGTATGTCTTGCGTAACATTCTCCAATGTCTCAGTGATTCTCTACTTAAGTTCCTCTTGGCTTGTAGGAAGAGCTGGGATATAGACCTGTTCTTTCACATATCCTCATAGAAAAAAATCAAGTCAGATGAACGTGGTGCCCATTTCAACAGCACATTGTTATTATCATTGGAATGATCGATCCATCATCCTCTTAGATTCTCATTGAGATAAGTCCGCGACTCAACCACACAGAGAGACCTAGCGATCAAAACCACGGTAGTGTGCGGTAATAGTGTTTTTTTACCTCTTTGATTGAAGATATGTATATAAATTAAATAGGCTTCATGTTGAACAATAAATTTATTTATCAAAATTCGAGCAACATATTCAAACGGATGTACATTTTATACTGTGGGAAAATTGCTCAATTACTCTCAGGTGTGGGTAATCACCCCAGCTCCTTCTTGAATAAGGGGTACTGACTGGAGGTAGGATAGTCCCCTGGCATTTTAGCTAATATTAAATTTCAACTTTCCCAGGAAAAGCCAGATAAATATTGATTGTGAATATACAGGGTGTCACCCTAAAATTGACAACTTAAAATGTGAATATCTGATTAACGACATGGTCCAGTCAGACGAAATTAAACAGACTTCATGTTGAACAATAAAAGATTTTTTTATCAAAATTCAAAAAGATATTCCAAGGGATGTTGATTTTATAAACAGATTTCACAAAGCTTCACAAATGTTCAATATGCTCACCACCTGTAACAAGACACTTCAAGTCAGTCGTCCAGCTCCTGCCAAACACGCTGTAGCATATCTTGCATAACATTCTCCAGCACCTCAGTGAGTCTCTGCTAAAGTTCCTCTAGGCATGTAGGAAGAGTGGGGGATATAGACCTGTCCTTTCACATATTGCCATAGAAAAAAGATATCACATGGTGTCAAGTCAGGTGAACATGGTGGCCATTTCACCAGCACATTGTCATTATCACTGGCACATCCGTTCCATCTTCCTGATAGATTCTCATTGAGATAAATCTGCATAGTCAACTTAGTTTTTACACATTTTTTTTTTTTAAATTTGAAATCATTTGAGCAAGAATTGGCTATCTTTTTAGACAACAACAAGATGTCAATTGGGACACCCTGTATATATCAAGATGTTGACATTCCACACTACCCCAAACAAAACGAAGGAAAACCCCAGCAATACTGGAAAGAACTATAACAGCTACTGGACGTTGAGAAACCTCTTTTCCTAAAAGATCATTTTTAAAGAAAGATTTTATAAGCTTAAACTGCTATCTGTACTGGTTGATTTTAAAACATCACTCAAGCCAACTACCAGGAGATGTCACTTCAATCACCCCAAGACTGAAGCTACCATTAATATATTAGAGATTCTTGATAAAATCCAAAGAAGAATCACCAACTTTGTCGGACCTGCTCTGAATTCTTAACAAAAGTTACTTTCCGACCACCATCACATAATTTCCTCAAATCTATAAATATTTTCATGGTAATTGTTCTGATGAGCTTTCCTCTTTGGTACCTAGACTTTATGAATTTAAGCCATAATATAGCTTCCCTCTGCCTTTTCTATAAATATTTTCATGCTAATTGTTCTGATGAGCTTTCCTCTTTGGTACCTAGACTTTATGAATTTAAGCCATAATATATCTTCCCTCTGCCTTTTCTATAAATATTTTCATGCTAATTGTTCTAATGAGCTTTCCTCTTTGGTAGCTAGACTTTATGAATTTAAATGCAGTATTCAATTGGCAGCTTGGTCTTATTATTTTACTGATACAATGGCTAGATTTAACTCTAAGTTCTATGTTACCTTTTCTCATACTTCTTGCTTGTGGAACTTTGCCAACTTCTTGCTTTTACAGTAACTTTGAATTTAAATTTTTAAAAATCAATGTCAATCATTATCTTCCTAATTCCTGTTCTTTTATTATTCTCTCACCCTTTGTATCTTAATAACCATCCATTTACATTTGATATTCCAGTATTATGGAGTTAGGCTAGGGACAAGTACTGATAGTCTATGGCATCTGGGTAAACATTAGCCTACCAGATACCTCCACGTCACATAGAAGACTTCCCTTATTTACATTTAATATTCCAGTATTATGGAGTTAGGCTAGGGACAAGTACTGATAGTCTATGGCATCTGGGTAAACATTAGCCTACCAGATACCTCCACGTCACATAGAAGACTTCCCTTATTTACATTTAATATTCCAGTATTATGGAGTTAGGCTAGGGACAAGTACTGATAGTCTATGGCATCTGGGTAAAACATTAGCCTACCAGATACCTCCACGTCACATAGAAGACTTCCTTATTTACATTTAATATTCCAGTATTATGGAGTTAGGCTAGGGACAAGTACTGATAAAATGGCATCTGGGTAAACAAGCCTACCAGATACCTCCACGTCACATAGAAGACTTCCCTTATTTACATTTAATATTCCAGTATTATGGAGTTAGGCTAGGGACAAGTACTGATAGTCTATGGCATCTGGGTAAACATTAATTTACCAGATACCTCCACGTCACATAGAAAACTTCCCTTATTTACATTTAATATTCCAGTATTATGGAGTTAGGCTAGGACAAGTACTGATAGTCTATGGCATCTGGGTAAACATTAGCCTACCAGATACCTCCACGTCACATAGAAGACTTCCCTTATTTACATTTAATATTCCAGTATTATGGAGTTAGGCTAGGGACAAGTACTGATAGTCTATGGCATCTGGGTAAACATTAGCCTACCAGATACCTTTACATTTAATTCTTTTAGAGTTGGGGAGGGCAGAACTTATTTCTTCCATTGTAGACTAGGCTTGATTATTTACTAATAAAGAACAAAAAACAATAATCTTCTTTAATTAGGAATATTTTTATACTATTTCACTTATCAATTCCAAATTAATCTATTGCTAGAAATATAACCTCACTTTTCTGTACTAGAGTACGGTTGGTTTTATTTTTTTTTTTTTTTTTTTTTATTTAGTGATGTGGGCATCCAATTTTATTGTCTCTTTGTCAAATTTGTCATAACAAGCCTCATAAACTTAATACCAACCACCAAACATCAAACCTTAAGATATTCAACAAAACCCATAGCCGCCTAACCACTATAACAAATTGAACCAAAGTCTCAAATAACATCAAAGAAAATTACTGTTCCTCCCTCAGCTCTGGGACCTTGAATTTTCTGACACTACCTGCCATGGTATACACATGGTGATGGCTTTCCCTGTTATTAACCCTAGAACACTAACCATGGGTATATAGTACCCAGCACAAATTTTCCTATTTTTAATTACAATTTTCAGTACTTGATTTTCTTACCTAAATAATGTTTTTCAGTTACTATTAATGTTAACTTAAAGTACAAAGTTTGAAGTGCCTGCATCTAAAATATTTCAAATAAAGATTTATATTCAATATTTTTTTTTTATATTTTCAAAATCGGGTATGATATACCCATGGTTAGTAGTGGTGTAACTTTAATTGATGGTTAGTGTTCTAGGGTTAACAAATAACAAAACCTTCATTTTCATATGTACAGAGTCTAGTGAGCATAAATTTACAGATGCTCTTCCTGACACAACTTCTCACTTTTACAACTGATTAAGAAAAACAATGCACATGTGCATATGAATAAGGTGTATAATATATTTTATTTGTAAGAGTATTTTCAACAAATAAACTTTCATAAGAACAGTAACTGACTATAATAGGTAAATTCAATCTGCAGTCTCTTTAATTGATTAATCGCATTGAAGTAATTCATACCAATCTGAGTTTCGACAGGACTCTTACAATCCCTAAGTTGTGGCTCAGCTGAGTCATTTGTGGATACCTTTTCCCTTTTGCAACTAAAGATGTCTTATCAATGGTAACAGGCTAGAATATATAAATTCCAGATAGGTCTTGTGACCAGTCAGTCTAGAAGCACCTTTACATATTGAGGTCTTCTGTTAGTATAAATAGCAAAGCACCTGGCATTCCTCAGTAGACACCCCATCAAAGTACTGACTATGCACAATGTTGCTTAACTTTGGTGATTAGATGAGAACTGGTGTTACAATGTGATATCACCATAATCACAGAAGAAGGCTATGAATTTGTTCATGGCAATCAGATATTCAACTCTTAGCCTGTACAAATCCAAAGTCATGGCTCAGCTGAGTCATTTCTAGATACCCTTTCTAATAGAATGAATCATATGTATGTAATGACATTAAACAGAGGTTTTGGTTAAGACTAAAAATGACAATAAAACCACACATAGATAACACATATAATTACAAAAAACAAAACATAATAATAATAGAAAGTGTTTTACCTTTTGTAGCTGAAGAGATGCTACTAGACACATTATAATGCACTTGGTCAAGAAAGATATTCTTTACAAAGTCAGTCACAAATGCCTGCAAGCTGGAAGATCTGTCAAAGAAAAAAGTGACACTTAAAGAAAAGAAAAAATATATAAATTACAATTATAATGATCTAATGTATAATACATGTATCTGTTACTGTATCACAGCAAAAACAGCAAATCATAGCAGAAAACTTTTTAAAGGCACTAAACTGAAGAGACTAGTATAACTCATTTGAATATTTTCTTGTATTACTCGTAATGAGAACATCTGATTGTTTAGCCTTATCCTCATTCACAGCAGTAGCAGACCTGCCACCGTGGGACCCATTACCAAGTTTACTTACCCATTTCAATCTAGAATTGCCACAATTATTACTGACATATCTACTTACTGTACTTACATAAAGTGTGAGGTTTCCATAATCACCTATGAATGTTTGCAGCTCTTTCACCTTTCAAAAACAGACATTCTCTGGCATCATTTGAAGTGAGAAAATAACTAAGTATGAATTGACAAAAAGCAGTTTATCCAAAGAGTTATCCATCTGTTTTATAATTTGCCAATTAGATATTTCCCTTGACCTGTCTGCACTCTACTCCATTAACCATACCTAATGCATGGCTGATAATAATAATAAAGCTTAGTGATAATTAATACTTAAAATATCTGTAAAGAGAAAGTGAACAGACATTGAGCAAAGGTCACTGAAGATAGCATTTCTTCTCAGTTAGTGAAGGTATTTAGTTGATGGGCTGAAAAGTTCATTTCAGCTCTTCTTATTCATAAGTGAATTGTTTCTCTCCAGGTACGAGGGTGGGCTGAAAAGTTCATAGGCTAGGAAGGAGTGATGCTAGAGATGTGGAATTTTGCATGCATTCATTTCAACTCTTCTTATTCATAACTGCATTGTTTCTTTCCGGGTACGAGGGTCGGCTGAAAAGTTCATAGGCTGACTATGAAGGAGTGATGCTAGAGCTGTGAAATCTTGCATGCATTCATTTCAACTCTTCTTATTAATAACTGTAATGTTTCATTCCAGGTACGAGGGTGGGCTGAAAAGTTCATAGACTGACTATGAAGAATTGATGCTAGATCTGTGAAATCTTGCATGCATTATTTTCAACTCCTCTTATTAAAAACTGCATTCTTTCTTTACTGGTAAACTGTGCATAATACCACTGTACTCAACGGACCTTAGTTACAGTTTCTGGGGGAAAGCATATAATCAGGCTTGATCAGTAGGTGACAGGGACAGATTTAAGACTTAAAATGCCTCTAGACTAATAGAATTTGAGGGCTCCCTTCATTACCTAAGTTTGCCCCATGTGTCTATAAAAAAAAAAAAATAGTTTTTTTTTTTTTTATATAAAACATACAACATCTAAGGATTTATTACCTTTTTATATATATATTAGAAATGAATAAATTTATCATTATCATCGTTTTATAAATAAAATAAAAAAATCAAAATGTTTACCCACCCTGGTGTGCAACCCATAGCAGTTTCAATTTCTTTGATAAAACTCTCCAAGGTTGTAAATATGGCTGAAAAAATTTTAAAAAAAGTATAAATAAAAAAAAGTATAAATAAAAAAAGTATAAATTAAAAATAAAAACAAAAAATAAAAAAATGAAAAATAATTCAAGTAAATGAGGTAAATTGCATTAGAGAGGTTCATATATCAGGTCATCCCATAAGTTCTGTTTGAATTTTAACTTTTCGTTAAAATTAACAAAATTTAAAGAGTATTTTAGAATGTCTAATGGAGCTAAACATTATTCTTATGTTTCGATGAATTTAAACTGATCAAATTTTAGTTCAGAGAACAATAAAATTCAATTTTGTTTGATTAAAACCCTGCTAACATGGCACATAATGCTTCATGAGTTCAAGAAAGGAAACTCAGCAGCCGAAGCGGCTAGAAACATTCACTCAGTTTATGGAGGAATGTGTGAATGAAAGAACTTGCAGAAGATGGTTTGCAAAATTCAGAGGTGGAGATTTCACCCTTGAAGATGAAGATCGAACCAGACGTCCAGTTGAGTTTTGAAAAGTTTGATGAAAAAGCCCTTTTGAAAAAATCCTGCTTTATCAGTTGAGGAATTGGCAGTGGTTCTCAGTTCAAACCATACAACTGTTCATCGTCATATTCAACAACTTGGAAAAGTTCCTAAACTTGGAAAATGGGTGCCTCATGAATTGTCTGAAAACAACCTCAAATCCCTGAGTTGACATCTGCTCTTCTCTCCATTCTCACCAACTTGTTTCACCTTTTTGGATAGACTTGTGACTGGCGACGAAAAATGGATCTTTTATCGAAATGTTAAGCGTCGTAGACAGTGGCTTGGTAAAGGGAAGGACCCCAGCCACAGCCGAGAAGGGAACTTCATGGGCAAAAGGTTCTTCTTTCAATCTGGTGGGATCGCCAAGGAATTATCCACTTTGAATTCTTACCACCTAATGCAACAATTAATGCTCAAATATACTGTCAGCAATTAGAACGTTTGAACCAAGCTTTGAGGAAAAAAAAGACCTGCGCAAGTGAATCGAAAAGGGGTGATGTTTCATCAGGACAATGCACGACCTCACACAGCAAGAATCACGTCACAAAAGATCGAAGAACTTGGTTGGGAGAAAATTCCTCATCCACCTTATTCTCCCGATCTTGCTCCTTCAGACTACCATTTGTTTCGTAGCTTACAGAATCATTTGGAAGAAACAGCTTTTGTAACACAGGAAGAGGTTAAAACTGACATTTGTGAGTTCTTCGAATCAAAGCAAAAAAGAATTTTACAGTAATGGAATTAGTAAGCTTGTTAATAGATGGAAGGAAGTCATAGATAATCAGGGAAAATACATTGTTGATTGAATCTGTAATTAAATGTAACATTTGGTCACTTGTTTTCTTTATTCAAAATTCGGACAGAACTTATAGGATGACCTGATACAAAAATCATAAAACTGAGGTTGTAATTCCAAAGTCCAAAAATTCAGTCCAACATCAGAATTACTGCGGGCATAAATCAAAAAGGTAAAAAATTTACATCCACAACACATGATGCATTAGTACCTTCCCCACCCATAAAGAGATAAATATTCTTATATATAGCGTTATTTAATTATAAGAAAAGGTTGATGATTGGTCAAGAAAATCAAAAGAATTACCATAAAGAGGCCTACTGAAGTTATTTTGATTTTGATTTTCTTTTTGTAGGTTAGACTGTTTTTTCCTTCATTGCCACAACAACAATCAAAATTAAAAGCATTAAATTCCAAAAGAGTAGAAACTTTAAATTATAAAGGTGGTGCAAAAATGCATTGCAAATGAGGAAGAAAGGAATTGTCAATGGTCAGGAATGAATGCAAGCATTACTGATAGAATAGGGTTATTATATGTATAATGTAAATGCATTGCTAATGATTTTTACTATAGGAATAATTGCAAATGAGGAAGAAAGGGATTATCAGGGGTCAGGGAATGAATGCAAGCAGTACTGATTCGATGGGATATTATATATATATATATATATATATATATATATATATATATATACACACACACACAGGGTGTCCATAAAGTTCATGTGCACTTTAAAAAATTTATAAATTTATTTGTTTTGCGATGGAAATAATTTGTAAAAAAGATTAGAAAGAAGTAAATCTATATTTTTTAAGGTTTTATTGAAATTTTCCACATGTCCTCCATCATTAGCAATACGATTTTGCAGTTCACGGAAAACATTTGCCAACTGATTTACAGTAATGCCTGAAATCACATTAGTTATTTTAGCTATACATTTAAAAATAGGTACATTAAACTTTATAACATTTTTTACAGATTATTTTCTTTCGCAAATACAAATAGTTATAAATAAATTTTTAAAGTGCAGATGGACTTTATGGACACCAGATTATATATATATATATATATATATATATATATATATATATATATATATAATGTAAATGCATGGTTAATGAGAAAGGAATGGATTTATAGAACCTGGAAGTTTGACGTGAAAAATAGTATGCTTGAGTGAGAAAGAGATACACAATAGTAAATTTAACATATGAGATACCGCTAATTTACATTTAAGAGCACAGAATTATGGACTTAAGATAGGTACAAATACTGATAATTTAAGATCCCTGGGTAAACATTAGCTTACTAGATTCATCAACTTTTTATATATGATATATTTAACCATTTAAGACAAAATAGAGAATAGGGAAAGATCTTTTATAGTAGATTGCAAAATTCCTATTCCTTAAAGTTGGTCAGCAGATGCCAGAAGAAAATCCTTTTTGTTTTACTCATAGCAATGATTAAGTACACTGGTAACTCACCTGTGATGTTGTGAGCCCCAGGCTTACACACAAACTGGTGTTTAGCAGTGTCCATCAGGCCATCAGTTCCACCAATTAATTCCGTCTAAAGATAGAAAATAAATATATTAAATCCAAAATCAAACTTCAATCATGAACAACTTATTATAAACCAAAATAAATTTATATATATATATATATATATATATATATATATATATAATATTAGTGGTAAATATACATACATATGCAAAATATATAAATATATACATGTATATTTTTTTGAATAAAAATTCCAAGAGGAAGAATCCAAGTAGAACTCAATGTCCAGGATTTATAAGGATATAATAAAATAATTTTATAAATATATATATATATATATATATATATA